GATACATAAAGGTATATGAAGTGTATACCTTATTGTGTAGTTTCATTATATGTCTAAAGCTGTAATGGCTTTTATCCAGTGTAAATATTAGAGTCCGTTAAGAAGACTCCCAAGCTAGATGAAACATTAGGTATGGACACAGCAAATTTTAAATGCGTAGAGGTGTAGTAATCATTTTTATTCTTGAAACATATGCTTTTGCCACTTTGAAAGATTTACTGATTATTATGGACCATGTTTACTTATTATGTAACTAACCAGCTGAGCAGCTTTTAGGTAAATAATCAATATTAAGAGCATTACAGGTTCTGTTATTTTAAAGGAGGTCTAACATTAACCCCTAAATGTGTGGCTCAATTAACATACTAAGTCATACTAAGGCATTGTTTTAAACTCCAGCATCGGTAACCTAAATCACAGGCCTTTATGGATTTTATTTCTTTGAATTTACAGCACATATAAAAATATCCCTTCGTTACATAGCTGTTTTTTCTAGATGACTATTTGCACTAGGGGGTATGGAATGCAAATACAATATCTTATTATTTTAGTATGGGAATACATTATTCTCCAAATACATTTTTGTCACATACTTAACATGAATAATTTAGCTCTTTATATCTGCAAGAACTGCACACATTAACCACTTTTGTTCTGATCTGTGACCTGTAAGGCATACACAGTGATTGACACAAGATATGAGATATCTGGATTTAGTCTTATATTATTCAGGTCTTGATAAAGTATATGCATGTTGACCGCAATAAGGCACACTAGCAGTATGATAAATGCAATGTCACAGTAATCAAAAGGCCAAATGTAAGCAGAAAAGAGTGGATTGATTAATTTATTCACTGTCAGCACCGAGATGAAATGTTGAGAGTCAGGCTGGCAGTGGTACACATACACATCATGGTTTTACGTTAAACTCCTCTGACAAGCAGTATAGCTGTGGTATAAAGAGCTCTAGAGAATGATCCTGGTACACAGACAGCAAACTGGTAATTAGGAGTTCATTCAGCCATTCACTGAGATACTGCTTTCTTTTTAACTGTAGAAGTACTGTTCAACTCCCTGTTTAATGGTGGGCCTGATTGATGCTTTGAGGAATAATCTATCTTTACATCTATATATAAATCATAGATTTTCATGTAGAATAAGTTGAATATATATATGAAACCAACTAGATCCATTGTTCAAAAATATTACATGATACGGAAAACACTAGCAAAGCATGACCAATAAAAAAAAAAAATCATGCTAAACATTTTGTTAAAATGAAAAATAAAGCATTCTGTTTCTGCTAGTGATATTAAACAGGTTTATATTGATGTTACATGTGTTGATTATGAAAATGCAGTACCTGTTGCTTTCATTTGCCATAATTAATTATAGCCTGGTGCTGCTGCCTGTTCTAAATTTAACTCCCAATATGCAAAGCTAAACTTTAAATAATGTGTTTAACTCTATTTTTAGCTTCACTAATGATAAAATATCGACACTGTAGACATTGAGGCTATTCATTCTTAGATAAAACACTTCTCTAACCACTGTAGATTCCCAACAAATATGACAACACCGGACTTTGATTATAAATGAGTTTCAGATGATACCAACCAATGTATTTAACATCACGTTTAAAAAAATGGATCTGTTTTTGACTCTTGTATTGTATATAAGGAAAAGAGAACATGTGCTGTCTTTCTGTGTACGTAGAGTGTGCTTGAGGACAATAAAATTATAATGTAAAATATGTTTTGGGTTTTTAGTTTGCAAAGTGAGGTAGACAATGGTATTGGTTGAAAACATAGATAGTAATACAATCCCAACATAGTACAACAGGCACTAAATGTAGTGTATATTTATGTTTGACAGGTATATTAAGTTTATGGGAATTTTTTCCTTGTGTCTCTTACTAAGTGATATTTCATGATGTTTGAAGACACTGAATATTGACAAATATTGTTATTCCCTGTTCGAGCATGCATGCTATATATAACCATACTTAATGCTAACCAGACTTAATAGTGAGTACAGTTCATTAAAAAAAATATGAAGCATCACTTAATGGCTTTAGGGTTTAGAAGATGTATAGCAGGGAACTCCTTATGGTTAGTCCTCTACCTAACACGGACACTGAATATCCCCTAACACCAGAGGATTGTTCCAAAAATAAATGTATTAACACTGGATATACTGTGAACAACTAAATGAGAACAATGAAAATGACATTCCATAGTATACTCAGAGTCCATATTCATTTTAGGTAGGAGTACAGTACATCCAAACCATACAAATTGGTTAATTGGAATGTGCTGTTACTACCTCCCAGTGCTGTTGATATATCACAGGGGCTGTTTATTAATTCTAATTTATTGATTCATTTACTAGCTTGTTTTATTTCTCTGTACCCTAAATCCTTAAAACCATCAGTGCCAACAATGATATTGTAAAAGAATAATGAGAGGTGTACCACATCTCTTCACACCCCCTGCTCTCCAAATCTCCTTGACATCAATACACGTATGATGATTATGGGTAGCTTTTATAGTTCCTGTCCTGCGTGTTGTTAAACATTTTTAAAGCTTGTTGTGTAACATTGTTGTTAAAAACAGACTAGCCAGATGCAGGGATGTATTTTATGCGATCTGTCATTCATTAATATTACTACCTAATGGGGTATTTTGTGTTACCAAACTTGGGCACTAATCTATTTTTCTAATAGACAACAAAAGTTTAACTTAAAGCAAGTTGCCGTTTTCAGAGGCTGGCACATAAAACACAGTCAGTACTTTTCAGATAATCCAAAAATATATCTCGAAGCCATCTGGCATGCAAGATAAGTACAGAATCAGTATCTGAGGAGAAATCGACTCCAGTTAACCAAACCTGTTTCTGCTGCATATACCAGCTGCCACTATTCTCTTTGCTGGAGGCCATCCCAAATCGTAATAAAGGGTCGACATTATTAAGTCTCAGCTGTGGGCCCTTCAGGATTTAAATGACTCAGTGTAAAAAATTTCAGTTGGTATTAGGATCTGAGCCATACAGTATGTCAGCGATCCAACTTCTTCAGTGCTGGAGGCTTTGTGTATTGCAGGGATACATCTTTCTCTATGTGATTCTAAATTATATTTCTGTTTCTTTTTAAGAGCTACACAGGCAAGTATGATCCAGAATATCATGCAACCAAGTCCTTGAACTTTTCTTCAGCAACCCTCCCAAATATGTTCCAGAGGAGCATTGAAAGTTATATTGACAAAAGAATGGGTACCACGTATGGCCCGCCGGCTGGGAAGAAAATGACAGTCTTTATTGATGATATTAATATGCCCATAATTAATGAGTGGGGAGACCAGGTAATATTGGACAAATGTATTAAATTAGCTTGTACACATAAAAAAGATATATAGACAGAACATTTGTGTATATGTAATTTACATTTTCATTTACAAGTTCCTCATAAAATATTTTGTTGTACATATATTGAGCATACATAAACGTATAATTCTACATTGAGTTATTATAATTTTCTTATGTTTCTGGGAAAATTGCTCAGTATAAAAGACACATAAAAAAAGGATTATTATATTACCTAAAGTGGCTTTTTTTGGTCGGGGTTTGGCATATAAATTCTTTATCAGTTGAACTATGAGTTAGAAGACACATCACAATTTAAACACACATATTTTCACAGAAACATAAAAAAAAGTTTATATACTGAACCATTTTACATATATCCATTTTCAGACTCTTGTTCCATATGTATTTTCAAAGACACATAATACAACTTTTATATTTGCATGAAGACAACTTACTCATGTATACTTTTGCGTTCTCAACCAATTTGGCATTGCAGACACTGACACACCATGCAGCAAACAAAATATTAATAAAAAAATGTGTATGTATAAATGTAAATATGAATAATTTATTTATTCTATGAGTAAATCTTTCAGGCTGCACTATCAGGATGTTAGTAAATTCAGGGTGGTCTTTAATAATGGTTGGACCCTGGGCAAGCATTTGCTTGGGCCCCCTGGACTCTGCCTCCCCACTCCCTGGCATGCAATCTGTGTTTTACTAACAGACATACTGACACACAGACACATATAGTGACACACACACACACAAACACTGACAGACATACTGACACACACATACATATATACACTGACAGACATACTGACACACACACATACACTGATAAGTTGCTGAGGGTCCGCAGGGCAAGAATTCTTTTTTTGGACCGCCTTCTAGCACAAGGTTGGCCAAAATGTAGATCCCTATCTGTCATACAAGTCCACAATGCTTTGCTAGCTTGGGATCTACAATTTCCCCATCCTTGAATGATTGTATTTAGCACTGAGCAATTAGTGTGTTTTTGAATGTAAGCATGTTTTTGTAAGGAGTATGTGTGTTTGAATGTTGGCTTTTGAATGCAGGCATGCATTTGTGTGTAGGGTATACACTGCAACACACAGCTACACATACAAATACACAGACACACACAGCAACAGTCATGCAAATACACAGACACAAAGCTACACACACTGACACATACACAGACATACACCCCTTGGTCAGGAAGGAGGTTCAGCGCTGATAGGAAAACAGAGAATATGACAGCAAGGCAGCACACCTATGGAAAAGGGGAATCCCCTCTATGCGCCTTGGAATACAATGGAGAGAAAAGAACAAATAAGGGTGCGCCTAAGACAAGTAGAATGAATATATAAAAATATATATCAGAGAGTACGAGCAGCGATACCTAGAAAGTCCAAATATAAATAATCCACATATGCAGGAGGTAGTCCTAGTGCTACATAAAATGGTATGTGAAGTCCCAGATGTATATTCGCAGAATATTCAGAGCTTAAATCCAGCTCTGGTGTAAATGGCACGTAGTGGAATAATCCCCACTCAAGGATATACGGTGCTCCTCTTTTGTTCTTTAGCAGAGTACTTTGGTGGAGTAGTCCAGCTCGAGGTAAAAGCATAAAATATATAGTGCTCACTGTATAGTTGATAAAATGTAGATACACTATATATTTTATCCTTTTACCTCGAGCTGGACTACATTTTATCAACTATACAGTGAGCACTATATATTTTATCCTTTTACCTCGAGCTGGACTACTCCACCAAAGTACTCTGCTAAAGAACAAAAAGAGGAGCACTGCAGTGCATTATCGATACACTAAAACTGCTACATTAAGCTAAAGTTGTTTTGTGCCTTTAGTGACTTTAGTGAAATTCAAATTTAAGGTTAGAATATTTGAACTTGAAACATTCTCTAAGTCAGCTATGCTTTCGATGTAGCTATTGTGACCTTTGAAATTCACTTTGTTTTTACTTTGAATTCTGACTTTAGTAAATAACCCTATAAGTTGTACTATGTTATCTATGATGAATACAAATTAGTGTCATTTACAGATTTATTTCATGGAAGGTGGCACATACAATGTATTTAATTTGACATTCTCTTGGCTTGATTGACAGATCACAAATGAAATAGTACGGCAACTCATGGAACAAAAAGGTTTCTATAATTTGGAAAAGCCTGGTGAATTCACTAGTGTGGTTGACATACAATTTGTAGCAGCTATGATACACCCAGGGGGTGGTCGAAATGACATCCCTCAGCGCTTAAAACGGCAGTTTACCACATTTAATTGTACACTTCCCTCAAACTCCTCCATTGACAAGATATTCCGTACAGTAGCTGAAGGATATTTCTGTGAGCAGAGAGGATTCCCGATTGATGTTTGTACATTGGCATCTTCCTTGGTGCCGTCCACTCGCAAAATATGGCAAGCCACTAAAATAAAGGTAGGACTCAAAGTATATGTTCTTCTGAGGTTACTTTAAAGACTAACGTGTCATCAGAATACTGTAAAGTATTTTGTAGGGATGAACCCATGCAGTGAAAACAATTGGTGTTAAGAGATAGCTTGTTATCAAGTATGTTAAACAATGCATTATAATAAATTTAACGCAAACTCTTTTAATACAAGAAGCAAGAACTGTCCTCCCGTTGCCAGAACACCCTTTTTTTTCTAAAGTTTAAACAATACATTACTAGGAAGGACCGGGCGGTATGACAGGCACAAAAATGCCTTTTACCAGTGCCTGGACCTTACGAAATACCATGCACTGGATAAGAATGGGGCTTATTGAGAGGAAGCTTCAGGCACCATTACTTAAAATGTAAAAATGTGATAAAATCCCACACTCTTTGCTTACCAACCAATACTACTTGCATGTACTGGGATGCTTTTGACTGATAAGATAACAACATCCTATGGAGCTTCACACATAGACACTGTGACGAGACCAATCTCGCCACTGTGCATTGGAGGAGCCTGGTTGCCTGCCTGCTGCCTTTTGACTATGGACCGGCATTTAAATACTTTATTTTCCTATGCAGAAAGGTCTATTCATGTATTTCTGCCCTGGCGTTCGGTAGATTCTCGGATTTACTGAATGAACTCATTTAACCCAGATAGCTATACCATGGAGCCTATTTGTGTAATAAAAGACTTTGGCTCCATGGCAATTGAACTGTATGTGTAGTCTGAGCGCCATTCAGTAATAATGTGCGCTCAGACCTAAGCTATCTGGGGATATGTTGAATGTCTGTATTTTATGTAATAAATGTAACCTTGTCTATTTTATTGTATTTTACTGTCTTTTGCTACCATGTGGCTAATGGAGTTTTGCCTCTGTCCTTGAAGATAATTGGATTACTTCTCCATTATCTCCAGGATAGAAGACTCTGTGGAACTGGTTTTGGGCAGAAAAGCCATGCTTCATTTGGTCACAAAGGACTTTGATCTAACTTTTGACCCACTGGACCAATTTGTATGATTTTGACATATGTTTGTACTTGGAGTATGCTGATTCTGAAAATGTGAATGTGATGCATACTTTTAAAGTTATGAATAATATGGAAAAACTGTATTTCTCTGCCTGTGATAATTACATTAACCCATTGTGTAAGGTAATTGTATCATAGGCAGAGGGGAGGATTTTGTGTGGGAGGGAGTGTATTGTACGTGTTTATTGGTTGTTTTACAAAACCCTGTGCGTGGTACTAATGTGTTAGAATGTGTATATAAGAACAATAAACCCACAGCTCTCTCTGTTCCTGCTTGACCCTCAAAATGGAGCCTTGTCTCGTTCTTAGGGGGATTTATTGTATGCTGTTCCAGTTCGACTGCTAGGAGTGTAAACCTATTCGGTTTATGGTTTTTCCTATTCAGCTGTTTACAGCATTCGTATGTTTGAGAGCATTCGTATGCTTCTCCGGTTCGGTGGATTGGTGTCTACAGTAGCTGCCTGTATATCTGCAAGGGAATATCTCCTAAACGGCTGTTAACCCCTTTTTTGCCTGGGTGTGCCATTACAGACACTTTGAATCTATTTCCTTAGAACTTTCTGTACTAGTACACACGTTCCTTTGATATTTAGTGAGTCAAAAAGCTGCCTGAGTATCATAATAAATGTAGCCACAATACCTGCCTTGTCAAAGGTTTGCCGTGAATGCTATATGGTAATATTATTAGTGGTCAGAATGAAGAGGATGAAGCTTCACATTCCATATTATTAAGGGGCAGCGTGCTACCATAATTTACAGATACATTATATATCCTCCCCTTCTAACCCTGTCCAGACTTTCTGTGTCTGTCCAATCACAGACTGCCATATGCAGCTCAATGAGAAGTCTTTGCAATGCAGGTGCTCTGAGCAATTGATGCCTCTGGAGTTTAGCTCCACTGAGCTAACCAAACCAGGAAGTAACAGAACCAGTCGTCTAATTGACATCCAGGGGGTATAACAAGGTTAATTTATAAAAGTTTCAGTTTCCACTGAAATCTAAGCACAACCTTTTCAAACCTTCAGCAAGCTAAAATGCTTTTGGGGTCTTGAGTGTACCTTAAAGCTCATGTATTTGTGGCAATTACACTTTTAGGTTCTAACTAGTGTTTTGATTTTTTTTTTTTAGCCATTCCAGGACACGTATGAAATAAAGATGTGGAAAATAATGAATAAGAAATTGAAGTTTTATACCTAGACACTGTTACAAGTATTTTAAAGATAATTCCTCACAAGTAATTTTTCTTAAGACTGGTTCAGGCAGGTGTCTTTAATTGTTCACAACTATAATGATAGTAGACAAAAAGCTGCCACCATGTAAGATTAATGCTCCCTTTCAGGCCCTTCTAGGATTGATTGCTAATTACGGGTAATGGAGCTTTAAAAAGACTCTTATCGTATCACTTTGTTTTCCAGATGTTACCAACCCCAGCTAAATTTCATTACATTTTCAACTTGCGAGATCTGAGTCGTATTTGGCAGGGGATCCTCACAGTAACTTCAGATGTCTGTAAAACCACTGACGTCTTGGTAGCGCTATTCCAGCATGAATGCAGACGAGTGATTGCTGACAGATTCGTTGACCAAAAGGATAAAGAATGGTTTGAGCACACCATGCAGAAGGTAATGCAAGCCATAAACAAAATGCTTCAACGTGGTTAAATATGTTAACTTGTTTTTAAAAGGAACTGTTAACACAAGAATTTATATCATCCAAAAAAACAAAAACAAAAAACAAATAACAATATTACTATTTTTGAATTTCAGTATTTTAATTAGAACTTTACTACCACCCTCATAAAGACACAGAATTAGTGGTAATGATTTCTTAATCTCACAAGATGTTGTGAGCTGTTTGTTGTGAATAACATGCTATTGTGAATGGTCTTTAAATAAAAATAAAAATACCCTCTCATCTTTTAATGCATTCTACATAAATCATGCTTCAAAAATCTGCCAACAAATGATGAAATATTAAAGAAAAGATACAAAAGGATATTTATATTAGACTTGCTAATCAGGATTCTTTCATGGTGGTCTCTCGTCTTCTTTTGTTTTCTATTTTTTTCCATAACTGGTTAATGAAATATGCAGTTCAGCTACCAGTCACAGTTCCATTTACTCTGTGAATGGAATTGCTCAACAAAATTGATTGCAGCCACACATTGCCTTCTGTCAGTTTATTTACCCATCTACAGTTTTGTGAAATGGGCTGTGTACAGCAATTCACCTGAGTCACAAATAGAGCACATGTGTGGCTGTGGCCTGTACAGGGGAGGAATCTGCTCTTCACATACACACAGTACACACAACTTGGACACATCATGGAGAGTAAGGCAGAAATAAACATTACCTCTTCTGTACACATAAGAGGGGGAAGCCCAATTGATAACTTTTGCAAACTACTGCAGTTAGATGCTAGAGTGTGCAGTGACAGGGTGGGTGCCCATTTGCACCAAGACCTATGCAATGATCATAAGTTGTCCTGGTGCTTAGAGCGATGCTCATGTCTCTGGCCTTTTGTAAAAAAATATGAAAGCAATCTCCCACATCAGGCAGTCACATTAAGCAGTGAAAGTTGGTCCTCCCCATCTGTAAAGTCAGTAGCTTCATAAAACTAAAGAGTCTGCATATGTATTAAAATGATCTAAGCAAAGAAGATACACTACTTTTTATCTATTAATATATAACAGCAATGTAGATTTATTTGCAAACATAACCAAAACAACATGTTTAAAACTGAAGTGGATGTTTGTATACAGATTGCAACAGAAGATCATGGTCAAGAGTTGATGCAAAATGCTTTGAAAGAATCCTACTTTGTGGACTTCCTTCGAGATGCCCCAGAGGCCACAGGAGATGAACCTGATGATGCTGATTTGGAGGCTCCTAAAATCTATGACCCTATCCCATCATTTGAACAGCTTTCAGAAAGACTTGACATGTTCATGCAGCAATACAATGAAGCTGTCAGAGGAGCTTCAATGGATTTAGTGTTTTTCAAGGTATTTGTTTTTTGTTTCTTACTAAGAACACCACATTTTTCACTCTTGCATGTGCTTAAAATGCCACATGTATTTTAAACAATCAATTTAACAAGAAATGCAAGATACCTAGAATGAAGATACCTAGCAAAGCAAATCTTTTGCAGACGACAATAAGAGAAACAAATCCGTAAGGACTTATTATTTTAGGAAAGGAATCAATTTCAGAGTTAAATGTTATTCCTCACTG